AGGGGGAAACGGGGCAGGAGGGTGGGGGGAGGGACGGGAGGAGAACGGGAGGGGACGGAGAGAAAAGTGAGGGCAGCGAACGGAACCGAACCGAACCGGACCGGACCGCCCGAGCGAGCGGGACGCAGCACAATTAACCTAATTAACCGCTAATTACAGCGGGGGGGGGGCGGCGGAATTCCCGTCGGAAACGGGGATTTGGGGTCAGCGGTGGAAGGGAAGGGGATGGAGGGGCTGGGATGGAACCGGGGGAACCGGGCACCGGGAGCCAGCACCGGGCACCGGAACCGGCCCGGGGAACCGGGAGCCGCACCGGGCACCGGAACCGGACCGGGAACCACACCGGGAGCCAGCTCCGGGCACCGGAACCGGCCCGGGCACCGGGAGCGGCACCGGGAGCTGCACCGGGCACCGGAACCGGTCCGGGAACCGGGAGCGGCACCGGGAGCCGGCACCAGGAGCCAGCACCGGGCACCGGGAGCCAGCCCCGGGCACCGGGCACCGGGACCGCACCGGGCACCGGAACCGGCCCGGGCACCGGGAGCGGCACCGGGAGCCAGCACCGGGCACCGGAACCGGCCCAGGAACGGGGAGTTACACCGGGCACCGGAACCGGCCCGGGCACCGGGAGCCAGCACCGGGCACCGGGAACCGGGAGCCGGCACCGGGAGCCAGCACCGGGCACCGGAACCGGACAGGGAACCGGGAGCCATCCCCGGAACCGGGAGCGGCACCGGGCACCGGAACCGGACCGGGAGCGGCACCGGGAGCTGCACCGGGCACCGGAACCGGTCCGGGAACCGGGAGCGGCACCGGGAGCCAGCACCGGGCACCGGAACCGGACCGGGAACCGGGAGCCAGCACCGGGAGCTACACCGGGAGCGGCACCGGGAGCCGGAACCGGACCGGGCACCGGGAGCGGCACCGGGAGCCAGCACCGGGCACCGGGAACCGGGAGCCGGCACCGGGAGCCAGCACCGGGCACCGGAACCGGACCGGGAACCGGGAGCCAGCACCGGGAGCTACACCGGGAGCGGCACCGGGAGCCGGAACCGGACCGGGCACCGGGAGCGGCACCGGGAGCCGGCACCGGGCACCGGAACCGGCCCCGGGGAACCGGGAGCCATCCCCGGAACCGGGAACGGTGACCCCAAACCGAGTCCCAAAAATGTCCCGGTTTCCCGGCGCAGCCCGGGAAGTTACGGGAGGCACCGGGAGCGGCGGAGCCCCGCGGGAACACCGGGGGGAACGGGAGCCCCCCGAGCCCCCCGGCCGCACACAAAGGCTGCTCCGCTTCTCCCGGTCAGAACAAACCGGGCCGGCACCGGGAGCAGCCGCCGTGCCTCAGTTTCCCCCCCTCACCCCGGTATCGCTGTCATTAATTAAGGGTTAATGAGGGGGTCGGGGGTCGCACCCTCCCCCGGGGGTCGCGGGAATCGCGGCGGAGGCCGAGCACAAAGAGGAGAGGGAGGGAGAGGGGAAAATCCCAAAGAACGGGAAAAAATCCCAAAGAATGGGAAAAAAAACCAAAGAATGGAGGAAAAATACCCCAAAAACGGGAAAAATCCCAAAAGAACGGGGGGAAAAGACCCCAAAAGAATGGGGGAAAATCCTAAAGGATGGGGAAAATCCCAAAGAACGGGAAAAAAACCCAAAGAATGGGAAAAAAACCCAAAAGAACGGGAAAAAACCCCAAAATACGGGAAAAATCCCCAAAAGAACGGGCGGAAAATCCCAAAAGAACGGGGGGGAAAGACCCCAAAGAATGGGGAAAATCCCAAATAAGGGAAAAAATCCCAAAAGAATGGGGGAAAATCCTAAAGGATGGGGAAAAATCCCAAAGAATGGGGAAAAAACCCCAAAAACCGGGAAAAATCCCAAAGGAATGGGGGAAAACCCCAAAGAATGGGAAAAAAACCCCAAAAAACGGGAAAAATCCCAAAAGAACGGGGGGGAAAGACCCCAAAGAATGGGAAAAATCCCAAAGAAGGGGGAAAAAACCCCAAAAGAACGGGAAAAATCCCAAAAGAACGGGGGGGAAAGACCCCAAAGAATGGGAAAAAAAACCCCAAAAGAATGGGGGAAATCCAAAAGGATGGGGGAAAATCCCAAAGAATGGGGGAAAATCCCAAAAAAACGGGAAAAATCCCAAAAGAACGGGGGGAAAACCCCAAAGAATGGGAAAAAAACCCCAAAAAAACGGGAAAAATCCCCAAAAGAACGGGAGGGAAAGACCCCAAAGAATGGGAAAAATCCCAAATAATGGGAAAAACTCCAAAGAATGGAGGAAAAGCCCCCAAAAGAATGGGGGAAAACCCCAAAGAATGGGAAAAATCCCAAAGAAGGGGGGAAAAGACCCCAAAAGAACGGGGGGGAAAGACCCCAAAGAATGGGGGAAAACCCCAAAGAATGGGAAAAAAACCCAAAAGAATGGGGGAAAATCCGAAAGAATGGGGAAAAAACCCCAAAAAAACGGGAAAAATCCTAAAAGAACGGGGGGGAAAGACCCCAAAGAATGGGGGAAAACCCCAAATAAGGGGAAAAAAACCCCAAAATAAGGGAAAAAAAAAACCCAAATAAGGGAAAAAAATGGGAAAAATCCCAAAGAAGGGGGAAAAAACCCCAAAAGAACGGGAAAAACCCCAAAAGAACGGGGGGGAAAGACCCCAAAGAATGGGGGAAAACCCCAAATAAGGGGAAAAAAAACCCAAATAAGGGAAAAAAACCCAAAAACGGGGGAAAAAACCCCAAAAATGGGGGAAAAAACCCCAAATTGGGGGAAAAGCCCCCAAGGCCGGGCCAAGCCGGGCTCGGGAGCCGAGACAAAGAGGAGCCGGCGGCGCCGCCGCCCCCCGGAATTTGGGGGGGTGCCCGGGGGTCCCGGAATTGGGGGGGGGTACCCGGGGGGTCCCGGAATTGGGGAGGGTGCCCGGGGGTCCCGGAATTTGGGGGG